GTTTCTGTTTAAGAGCTTGTTTTACTACACGTTTCCTAGTTTTACTATCGTATTTCCAAGCAAAATCTTCCAAAAACCACCACAGTGCATTGTGTTGTGCACCTAAAACTTTGTTTCAACTCTACAGGGTGTCCCACGTAAGTCTCGAAGTCTCGAATTGATTACGGAAAACGGCTTACCATAGTGGGAAATAAGATTATTTCCCACTAGATCAACTCCAAGGAATAACCCAAAAAATATTTTTAACTTTTCTCCGATACAGGGTGTACCAAAAACTGAGGGTCACTAGTTCGAATCTCGGAATTTGAAAACCTAAACATATGTCATTTTATTATACGTAATTTTAAAGGTATTTAAGAGACAGACAATTTACCAAAAACTGAAATTAATTATCTTTTTCCGTTTCAAAATGGCAGCAGTTTTTTTTTCGAAAAAATGAATTGTCAACGATGACTCTAATAAAACCAACGGTGTTATGCTCAATGTTCAAAACAAAGAAACCCCGAGACTCCACATGGAATTTTCTCACGGCTCTACTAGAGCACCCCCCCCCCTGTAGAAGGAGACGTAGGCTGCGGACATGTAGCCAGTAACCACACGTTGTATAGTAGGATCATAAGTCAAGTGGACAATACACTAGGCAAGGTACAATGGGCTACAATAATGAACTGGGTAATGTGGCCTGAATACACAGGGGCAAGTGCCGCAACTCTGTGTCTGAGTAGTTGTGTGTTCATGCAACTGTCTCCGTTACGTACAAGTATGTAGTCACATTCCACTTAGTCTTTGAGATCAGAAATGCCAGCAAACTAATTTTCTCACAGCAAAATTAGTAAACTAAAACCATAGATTCGCGAATTTGTACTTTCATTTAGGATCTATGAAATAATGTAAATGCATAGGTACATAAGACTGAAAAGAACGAAAGAAAATAAGTGTCATGGGGTTTTAAAAGTTATCTGCAGATCTATTTTTTATCCAAAGAAATATCTTCTCTATCATCAACTCCTGTTGGGGTTTCTTTCATTTACTTATTTGAAAAAGAAACTAAGCTTGTTTGTTTATTGGTCAAATTTTACACGAGGAAATCTAGCAAGATTACAGAGTTATGTGTTAATGTCACTATCGAAAAAATACAGAGTTCGTTCCGTCTTTTCTTAGAAGACCTCAAGTGTACTCATTGATAAGTGATGATTGAACGCAACAATGATGACGCTTACACTGTCTGCGACCAGGGTTTTATAATGTAATTTGTAATAGTCAACTGTGAAAAGCCCATATATGGGAATATTCGATAAAGTCCGAAAAACGAAGCAAAAGTGTTAGATATTTTCTTTTCTTTCAAGATGAACCCTTCAAAAACCGACTGTAGGACTTTGGGTATTGTTAGACTTAACTGATAAATGGATATTGTCTTGTATTTTGAAAGTTGAACGGGATGACGCTTTACTTGCAAAAACCTCAAAACTTGATTCATCTTCTTATTGCTACATTTATAACATTTCATAATGGAGGCACAATATTTTTTATGATATTGCTCTTCAGAAGAATGCGGGTCATAGTTTTCCACTCTCAAGGTTGCCAGCTTGCGCAAGGGTTATGAGACCTTAATAGCCCGCGCACTGTAAACATGTTCCCGCGCTATCTGACTGCTTCATCTGATAAAGCCGATATTCTGCGACTGTTATACCTGTTGTACCTGTTAATGTTTCTATGAAATATCTGATGAAAGTTGTTGTTTTGCCATTTTTGTTATTGAAGATGGGACAGATGAAGGAAGTTGTACTTGGAATTTGTGTTTTGTATTCAATACATCAACCAAATTTGAAATTCACTGAAAATTGTGACAGCTAGGCATCATATTTCATGGGAACTCTCTGAACCATATAGAGATTCAAGTGATTTAGGTCTAATGTAGATGTTTTGCGAAGTGTGTAACTACAGGCACTCACCCAAAAGTGGTAGTGGACCTCTCGTTTTTAGAATAGATTTTTTAGGAAATATATTTTAGAACAGATTCTGTTTACCAGAATGGTTTGATAACAACCTGTTCAGACAACTGCATGTGTGTGCTTTATTGTTGCCATGGAAGGAGTGAGTCTTGAGAGTCCTTTTGGGTCATCCACAGCTGGCCTAAAACAGTTTTAATTAACTTTTAGATTCGATGAAAGCGAAGAATAGACAAGTAAAATGAATATCCTGTTGCAGGTTTTCAAATATATTTGATCTTACACTAGCAAAGTTAAAATAATGTCGAACATCTTTATTTCTTAATCTATACACTTAGTTTGCAAGTATTCATTCAGCTGATTCGAAATTCAACAGAGCCAGTTCTAATGAAGACAGGTGTGAATTAATTACGTCTAGAACCAGATGAGGCTTACAAACAAAGTCAGGAGGGCAAACGATCTACACATGTTAGACCAATTAAACCTTACTAGGTGGGCAATCGTAAATTCCTTACCTGAACTGTGTCATTTGAAGTTGGTAAAATCTAGTCAAGGATCAGTAAATGATCTGATCTCCGAACTAATTTAAGTACATCACAAAAGAAAGAAGTTCATTATCATTATCAATTAAGATGGGGACGCCACGTAGGTGCAAGGATGAGTGTAGAATAGAGTGATATGATCTGTGTACAGTTACTGACTAAGATCAGCTGTTACATTAGCCAGAATCATATAGCCTAACTAGCTGTAACCCGCGGGCTTTGCCCCGTTTAACTTCTTAATTTTCAAGATTATCTCGTTCACATGGCTCAATCACGTCCTGGTTGAAGTTTGTTCGCTACGCTCACTCACCTTTAGGTTGGAGCTCGTTCGCTACGCTAACTCGCCTCCAGGTTGAAGTTCGTTCGCTACGCTCACTCACCTTTTGGTTGCAAATTAGCAACCATAAATGTAAAAACCATAAATGCAGTTTATGCTATTGAACATCATAGAACAGAACCAACTTGTTTAATTGAAACAGCTGTTAAGATTCAATAATTCCATTTCTCATAATGTTAACATGGGAAACTCCAGAGCCACTGGGGCGGAGCCCGAAAGGATTTTTGAAATAAGAATATGCCTATATGTTAATCGGGAATGTGAGCTATCATCATGCCAAATTTCAGGCCAATCCGACCAGTATTTTTCGCGTTCACTTGTCACAAACATACATCCACACATCCATACATCCATACATCTAAACTTTCTCATTTATAATATTAGTAGGAAGGATGGTCAGAGACAGCTGGGTCCAGTTTCACCACATTCTAAAAGCTTCGGACTTTCCTCAGTATTGAACCGGCAACATTCTAATTGAGCGAGCACTAAGCCCACTTGAAGTACCCAACTTGAAAATATCTTGCAACTCTCATAGCATTCATAGTAAATCCGGAAAGCTATTGAAATTGGTGCAGGATAGGTATCACCAAGTTTAGCCATAGATAAAACGAACCAATCCGTTTGCTTAGGTTGATTTATGGGAAAGGGTTGTCTCTAAGTCTATGTATTGGGTTCATCACAACGACCAATCTCACCAATGTGATAACTTCGTATGTCCGGAACTCTTTTGGATGCCATTGTAAAGGGAGAATCCAATAGCGTCGGGACACGATAAGGAATCACATGCTACTTCCAGAAAGATAATTACCCAATCCAAGACGTTACACTTGTGGCTTTAATCAACCGTGCCCAGGTGGCATCCCCCACATCCTGGACTCTCCTAATGTCCCGTGGTGCTGTTATTTACAGCAAGGAAGGCGTGCGGTCTCCTCGGTCGCTGTAGCTGTCGTGATAAATCCGTATCAGCCTCTGTGCTGATGAATGAGTCACCTGCGCTCGTATTTATGCGATGTGTAAGTCTCAGGGTCAAGTGCGATTCGTCATGCGTGGCTGGCTTTTAGCTCGGTCTAGTTCTCAACGTGGATGAAGGTCTGAATTACAACGTTGCTGGAAAAATTTGTAGTGTAAAAGTTCGTAGATGTGCTTTACTCTGTCTTGTGTTTTTATCTATCCAGGCCATTTAGAAATAAGTGGCAGATTGAAATATCAAGATTGTGATTTAATTCCACAAATAGCGTACGATAAGACATGTACCTTTTCAAAACCATCTTCTTACTTAAAGATAATTAAATTTGATTGCAGATTACAATCAAACATACTCCGGAAAATTAGTTCCCTTTAACAATGGGCATGTTAAACATCGCCGGGCAACCTATAAGGACAGCCTTCCTCGTAGCCAGGTCACGACGTCAAGTGATCCTGCAAGTATAAGGCAAAGGGATCATGGACAATAAAACATGCGATAGGCAAAGAGCGTGAGAACCGGCAGAACATAAAGCGGAGTATAAAGGTAGTGGACGATGTGACGGCGCTGCCTACGCTATAACTAATGACATCTCAAGGTGAGGCCGGACCTGGTCTGGACCCCGGGTGAAGGCTAGACCGGTGACCCTAATCACTTCACGAGAACCAGCCGTTTGTCAATACCTCTGTAATGGGTGCAACTGTAGATTTACCGAGGAGTAGGCGTCGTCCGCCATCCCGACGTTGAGGGTCCACTCCACCTCATTGCCCGAGTTCGCCAATTCATTAACAGTTAGGTAATGCGAGCACGGATCTTTGACAAATGCGTTCGAATCACTACCTTTCAAAGGCTTACGCAATACTCCGCGGGGGGTTAATGAGTCGTGTTTTTTTACAAATTAGGTTTGTGTCCAACACGGCTACACGCCCTTACCTTGTTGAAGTAACGTGTAGTTAAATCTTGCTGATTACCGGGTATATTTTAACATGGGATAATTTAGAGTGGACGTGTGTCCTAAATAAATACGCTTATAGTATGAGTTGGGGTGGCAGATATATAGACTAATGTGCATATTTTTCAAAGGTGCGTTAACATTGGTTTTCTCTTGTTAATAATCTATAAAATTTTTAAATGAAACTTGTACAATAATTATGACACAAATGTAAGCGAATGTCAATACTGACACTAACTTGCGGTTTTTGTTTCAGATTCGCAATGGGAACATGGCGATGAACTCAAGACAAACGAAACTGGCTGATCGAGTGACTTCTATATCAAGAACAAGGACGATTTCTTGAAGAAAGTTCTTATTTTGCTTCAAAGAAACCGTCTAGTTATTGCTGAACACTTAGATATAGAAGACTATCCGAGTGTTGTCTGACAAGTTTGTTTCTACAAAAGTTGTTTGAAAGAAATCAACTTATGATGGAGGACAAATAGATCTAGTGAGTTATATTATTATTATGCTAGTGATCATTCACCACTAGTGAGACTATAGTTTAATTATGGATATATCCGAAGCCTTCCGGCCAGAGGATATAACAAAAACCGACTTCTTCGACTTCGTGGTGGCGCCAGACGTAGTTGACAACAGTTCTCTTCAGCAATTCAACAGATCCATGAAGTCCGTTGGGATATTCTTGGAATCCTACAATAACAACAACAACGAAGATCCCTCTTCGGAGAGGAAAGAGACTAACAACAACCATCTAGTATTAGGATCCGCTCCTGCGGATGGAGCGACCCAGTCACCGGGGTTCACGGTCACGGACCAACCTTTCTGGCCCCAATCGGCCAACTGTGATAAGGACTCTGTACGATGGGAGCCTTCCATGCTGGAGGATCTCAACTGTTGGAGCCAGGGCCAAGGAGGAAACTCCTCGTCGACGAAGGTAGACGGGGAGAACACCGATGGTGCCATTTACACTTTGACAGTTCTGAACGGAGCTGAGCAGTCCTCCACTTGGTACCGAGCACCGGAGACTCCGGAGGAAGAAACGAACCGAAGCCAATCGACCACATCGACCAACCTGTCGTCCCACCAAAACTCTCTAGATCTCGATACATTTTTAGATAGCATCCCCTCTTCTGTAGCAAAGAGCATGGCAGAGACAACCTCGTATCAGAACGGATATCCGAGGACGACAGCCGAGCTGACGACCACGGTGGCAACCACTGTCACTCCGCAGACTACCACCATCAAGAGCGAGTTCGCCTACGACGACAGTGGCTACGCGGACAGAAAAGAGGGAATTTGCGACCATTTAGTTACTGAAATAGTACTAAACAACCCACCTGGAGGCCAATTCAATAATAACAACGACTGGAAGATCTCTGACAACAACGAAAGGTCGACGTCAGGAGGAATGGACTCTTTGTTGAGAAATGCGCTTCAAGGAAAAGCATTCCTCACGAGGTACAACGGCAGCCATCCCGTAAAGACGGAAAAGTCTGAAGACATAAGAAGGGTGTTGGTGAGTCCCCCTGCTGCAAAACCGTCGTCGGAAGCATCGTTTTCGACTGAGATGGATGACGACATTAAGACCAGATCTCCACTGATGGCGGTATCACTTGAAGGCGGCACAGTAGTTATGTTCGACGGCGGAGGTGGTACTGGAACTATGCTTATTGATTCCGACAATCCCAGCTCGGCGCAGAGCATGGACGACATATTCCTGTCCCAGCTGGACGCCGTTTCGTATCCCGAGGACTACGAAAAACTCAAGAGGATCGAAAACGAAGTGGCGGAATCAGTGGAGCAATATTGTAATTTAGACCCTTCCGGACAAAGTATTTACATCCAACCCCACCTAGGAGACGGTAGACTCCCATCTATAGGCAACTTGGACCACACCATCCTGAATTCGATTTCTACCACCTCAAAGTCCAACAAGAAGTACACAAAGAGGTCATCGTCGAGTAGTAAAAGTCCCCACCAACTGCAGAGCCCCAGCAGTTCCTCTGGGATCAGGAAGGAGCGGTCTTTGCACTACTGCAACATCTGCAGCAAGGGTTTTAAGGACAAATATTCTGTGAATGTTCACATCAGGACACACACGGGCGAGAAACCCTTCGCCTGTTCGTTGTGCGGGAAAAGCTTCAGACAGAAAGCTCATCTCGCCAAGCACTACCACACGCATCTGGCGCAGGCGAAGAACGCGGCCAACGGATCTGCGAACAAGCCTCCGCCGAACAAGTCCCGGTAGCTAGGAACGAGTCCGTGAATTGAGTCGATCAATGATTGATGTACACGTATTAGTAGAGGATAAGAGGACAAATTAATAAGGATATTAGTACGATAGCATTATAAATTAAACCATCTTGTACAATTTGCATAGAAAACCTTTGTTAAAATATGGAGATTGTTCAATTCTTTGCCACACTATAACAGGAATGTCATTGATGAATCTTTATCACACGGATATTTATTAAAAGGAACTTTAAAACCTCGCAGGAAAGTTCATGCAATTTTCCAAATGAAGAAAATGCAATTTTTTAGAACGTGTACATCGATCAACGACTCGCCTATGTGCTGTGACTTCTGAACTGTGTCTTATCCAGAGTGCTTGCCATTTAATGTTATATTTTAATTGTATTGCCAACATATTATAGTGTTTATAGCAATATCGTTTTATTGTGAAGATTATTTATGTCATTGTTGAGTATTTATTTGTTCTTCATCGCCTCATTGTAACAAGTTTTCTGCCAAATCGATCGAACAATATCTGGTGCCAAATATAGTCCCATGTGCCGGATTCAATTTTCTTTCAATTTTCGTTCGCATTCAAGCCACCAATAATTTAATTTAAAGTTACCTACATCTTCAAAATATTAATATTTATCTCTTCGACCCCATTGGCCAATGCTATACTTGGTTTTAGTTCCTGAAACTGTTGTAAATATTGTTAAATTATTTTTGTACTAAATTTTTATATGACTTTATCTCTATGTATAACTTTTAAATGTGTATTTTTCTATCTCGAGGTACTTAAATAGTCTAACCTAGTTTTAAATCTTGGCTTTTCGATATTGTAAAATGGTTGAAAATACACCTTAGGTTAAAATCAATTGTATTAGTGTAACACTCAATGTAAAGACAAATATGTCTTGTTTGATTGTTTTTCTTTACAATTTAAAGTCTATTAAAAAATTAAATGCATTGCCACCTCCCAGGGACAAAGTTATCAGTGTAAAAAAAAATTGTAAACCCGATAAAGCCTAAGTGGCAACATAGACCAAATGTTAAAGTAAATTTAAATAACTGTTGAAGAATATGATTTATATGGAGTTATTACCTACAGTATGGTCCACGAGAGTCTGCAGTTGAGGGAGGAGCCTATTTACCACGTGACCTCGAAGGAGCCAATGAGAATCGCGCGTTGTTGCCAAATCTAATAATACCAGCTGATTTGAAAATATTGTTTAGTATATTTTAATTAGTGTCGTCAACAGGTGATATGGCAACGTCTCACTGGCCCTGTCTTGTGATAGGTTGACCCCAACTGCAAACTCTCGTGGACCCTATTATAATTACTACTGTCACTTTATCAGTTGTTGTCCAATTGAATTAAATGATACCTCGGTAACAGTCAAACATGTAAATGGTCGGGTAAAAGATTTGCTAGGCAAAGAAATTAGCCTCTCAACTCAATAGATAGTCATGAGGTTTTGTGTATAGCAGGAGCAGATTGTTAAAAGCTATGCTAGATTTTTATTTGAATATTTTAAGAAATTTCAAATCCTGGCGTTGATTAAGCCTTTGACTATAGATACAACTAAATCTTCCATCACCATATTACAGCTGTTGCTTGTTAGAATAAAAACTAGCAAAGTTTAAATGAACCACCTACAGAATGCACTATTGTAAATTAATTATTTCTGTTGAATACACAAAATTTTAACCAAGCCAAACTAAAAGAGCAACTTACTAAGTAACATTTTCTGTGATTGATTCATTTGACCATGTCATTTTTTAATTTTAAAAAACGTCTGCAGCTGGTCCATATAAAATATGGGAAGTCTACCTCCAAAAGGCTTGACGATTTTGAACGATTTTGACTATAATATTTAAAGAAATTCCAATTTATGGTTAAAATTTAATTAATTATAAAATAGAATCAAATACACTGCATAGCTGCATATCATAGCCAACCTATACCCATACCACACTGAGCCTAGGTTCAGAACCCAGCTGTTATTATGCAACTGTCAGTCAAGAGCTGATAAGTGTTGCCAACCTCGCCTAACAACAGGCTCGCGGCTTGTTTTTTATGATAGGTTGCCACACCTGAGACTGAGTACTTTGTATAAATCAAGTCAAACAATGCGGCAAAGACGGCTAACCGTGGTGCATTGCGACGCTGCTTTCTGCACTGGGAAAAATATTAAAAGTGCAGCAGTCGCAACCGTTTGCCAAGGATAGCTCAGCCTACAATGGCTGGGTAAAGTTCCAGGGTCTGCGATAAGGTCAGGGAAACCACTAGGCCAATAGCCGGGTCTAACCGGTATAGGACTGGCTCATACACGGGCACTGTGAACAAGTCAAAAACAAGTCACCAAAACAAACGTGCAATAATCACTACCAGGCCTACGCCGATTCTCCACACTCCTAGGGGGTCGTTGCTGACTACGCAACTCGGGCTTCGTCCTAACTATCCAATAGTTAAGCCCAGAGTGCCTAAAACACGGTGAGTTACACGACGACTTGCCAATAAAAACCACAACGCGTGTTATCACCAGGCGGGGTCTACTAGGCCACTATAATCCAATACACAACTCTAATGCCCAAGCTAAGAATCAAACAGTTCACTCAATAATCGTACCACATAATAATAGACAAGTACACTATAGGTAGAGTGACTACACCACTAGTGGCTGGTCTCAATAAATACCAAGCCAAACAAGCAAAACTAAATGGCAATTGCACTATTAAAATATTGAGCTACTTAGTAGCAGATAAATAAATATTAAATACGTTCCAAACACTAGATAAATATATTATCTGATAGCCGGTACTCCGCTATCCAAGCTACCAAGCTAACGTGTTGGATTACTAAGCAAGCTGTTCAGGTTAAATTAAAATAATTAAATGATTAATCAATACCAACCCTACTGCTACTACCACTACTGCTACTATATCAACGTTATATTGCTTAGCCGGGCTTCTGTTAATAGGCTAATAAAACTAGCTACTAGCCTACTGGCCTCGTGCTTCCAACTACGCACGCTAAATCGTGCAGCCTAGGTTTGTCGGGCCTCAGAGTTATTAGTAATATAACTAACTCTTGGTACAACGCAAAATAATAACTACTACAGTCAATAAATTATATTATTTGCGCTCTAGAACCTGCCCAGAACCGTCAGGAATATACTTTTATTCCTGACACCTGTAAATAAATCCTAACTACCGTCAGGCTTTGACCAGCACGGTTACAACTCTAACTCTCTTAAACCAAAATCAAAAGAACGTCGTCCACTCACCAGCAGTGGGTCTTAAAACCCAACTTAACACTAACACTGTTCACCGGTATCACCACACTCCGATGTACCACCAACGTACGCCAGCCGTCTCCACAGGCACAGGACACCAACACTCACTACTCGACTGTCCGAGATCCACCACTAGAATGTCTGTCCTAGGCTATCCTGAGAAACTAGGATATCCCAGGCTTATCGGCACTGATAAGCCGGGTCAAAGGGCGCTAGCCAGGTTCGCCGCCGCCGCTTGCCTACCTCAACAATCGGTGCGCGGCCAAATAGCAAATAATTACCCCCCTAGGAAAAATAACTCGTTACACCATTATGGGACAAGCAGATGTTTGTTGAGCCATTTAACCTCAAAGTAATAAACTCGGATTCTTATGAATGGTTTACACACAGTATGTTTGTTGAAAGTTGTAACGCGAAAGTTCCAATTATTGTATACTACATGTCACGTTTGAAAAGTGTTTCTTTTGGATCAAAAACATTGCTGAAGGTTGTAATTATTGCTTCATTTAAATTACCAACCGTGGCCTGTGGTATCCAGTTTGAATAGACCATTGCCTTTTGGACGCAAGAAAGATAGCCCATCTATATCGTCCAGCTGCAGCCAATTTTTTTTACAAATATAAGTGTGGTCCAATAAGCTGCTCACAAAAAACTAATATTCTCAAAACTAATATGACAAAACTGGATATTCTCTACTATCTTTAAATACTCAATATGTCCATCATAATAGTTTATGTGGAAAAATATATTTCATATTAAGTCGACCTTTCAGAATGGTTAAGAAAAGCCGACGTATACGGCAGAAATTGTTATCAAAGCATTAAATTTTGAGGTTGAAAAAATAAATACGTATTATAAAACTAGCTGCAGCTAAAAATATGTAGTTTGACCCATTAGTCCATAATAAATCACATTGAAATAAAACGGAAACTTAAATCACAAATCCTCAATATTTTGTACAGCAAACTATTGGAAAAAATGCATCAATCCATAAATTGTTCAGCCAACACAAAATCTGTAAGTAATTGATTATGAATAAAATAGTCGAACCATGAAGACTTTTTACCACAATTTCCAAATTAGTTTCTACGAATCATTGTTGGTAGGCAATATTTAATCAGCTTAAAGTACAAATTCTAAAATTAAGTACTTTCCACCAACTAAAATTGCACAACACGTTTAACCTTAAGAGGTCCAAATCCCTATCTACACCCACGATGCGCAATTCAAGCCCCAGTTTCAGCCTGGTCAGTCATACCGTTGTTGGTATCGAAAGTCGACCATTTCGCCGGACTTCAATCTGCTATTAATTACAAATATCGTTCTCCAGTGCAGTTCTGCCAGATAAGCTTTCTCTCCTGTTCTTACCTTACCGTATTGACTTTCTCCCTGTCTTTTGTGTTACATTTTCAAAACTAGGGCTTTCATTGAGCAATTCTGATTTGTAACCAATTATCATCAATACCTATTTATTACTTTAAGCTTGGTTAGGTAAACCGACTAGCCTATCCTTTCCATGATTATTCTACAATTTAAAATTGTTGATTTTAAGAATTACGGTGATTTAATCAATGATTATCGTCAGTGTACGTCTACGTTTTAAAAACGCCCAAAAATCTACAAACCCCCTATTTTCTCCCAAATGTTTTGATTTTATTTACAATTTTTAGTTCTTTTAATTGGCAAAAATGGTTCGATACTTTGTAAAATTCCAATACTTCAGTTTTAAAATCACCTCACGTGTTTACACCTGTTTACAAGATGTATTCCTTTATGTCTAATCAAGAAACCAACTAATTATGAATACATCAAAACCTTAAATAGTTTCAGGGAGATCTTTATTAAATTTTCGTGAGCATACATAAATCGTATTAAAAACTAACCAAAATAAATTGGCTCGCAGTTAAATTCATGCATTTTTGACTACACCGTTTGTTCAGCTTTTGTTTCCCATTGTTTTTAGTACAAATCTAAGAATACATAGAGCGTGGAAATTTATTTTAAATTTATACTGCCTTGCCATAAGTCTATGCTGAACTAACTGCCACTGTTGCTTATTTATTTTGTGAATGAGTTTTACTGTTTTAGAATCATCACCCACTTGGGCCACAACTTTGGTAATATTGGATTTAAATTATTTCCAAGCCATAAACAAATTTTTATGATGATATATGGTCGAAACTAGCGTGCTGTAAATAGGTTTTTTTCAAGCATCTTGTGTTACACGAAGACTTTTTATGAAAATCCTCATGTTTCTACCACTTTTTTCGTTAAATCTCCCATTTTAATTTCTTTTGCACCTTTCATGTACTGTAAATTGAACATTCAAACATAATTCAACCTTTTACGAAATTGTACTATTTTAGGCGCCATGTATAGTGGTTTCCCAAATGTTTAATATACAAATTAGATAATACAAATAATTTATTTTGTGTACAGATCATAATGTGTAAAAACTCATCTAGTACTTATTTATTTAAGAAATTGTTTGCGTTAAAGTGATATCAGTCCGTTTCATTATTGTTCTTGATCAAGACTGCTCGCTAGAGCAGAATTCAAGTGATTGTTTTACAAGTTTGTTTACAAAACGAAAGTACTGACCGGGTATTCCACCTAAGCTAATGTACATAACCATAAGGTTCAATGTATTATAGTACATTTCTGTTCTCATTATTTTGTTTAGAGAGTTTACTGTTGTTATTTTATAGAACATCTATCAGTTTATTGTATAGATTTTTTGTAATGTTTTATACGATTTATTTTTGATTAAATGAGTTTATACATTTTCTTATAACCTTGTGTTTCTTCTTCTATTTTAAGTTTAAAAGTACCATAAACCAGGAAAATAGTCAGCATTAAAAACAATTCTATTGAAAAAATGTGTATGTAGCAAAAGCACAAAGTATTCGCTGCTAAGAAAGCTGACATTTAGTAGAAAAAAAAATTCTCTAAATATTATATTGTTAAAATAAATTTCCTATTGAGAAAACTCATGTAAAGCACAGCCTTCTCTGTGTGTAAAGTAAAACGTATTTCTTAGTAAGGGTTTTATATTGCTAAAAATGCTAATACAAGAGCTCCTATAAAATTTTGGATAGTAAGAAATTTAAGAAATATATGTATACTAATGAAGCCAGTAGTATTCCTATGCCAGGCTGCATGTAGTAAGAAAAGAAAAATTATTTACCATGAAGGAAGCTTATAATCTACTTTTTTCGAAAAATTATTTACCACTGAAAAAGCTGGTGAATAGATAAAAATAAAAATATTTTCTACTGAGAGAATCCCATAGGGTAAGGTCACTGATTGTAAATTTAAACATCTGAATTCTAAAAGAATTCATTATAGAAAGGTACCTACATTATCCTATACTCTTATATGAGCATTTTTGGTTGTGTGTATGTAGGCCTATGTTTGTATACTTACACAAACATCTCGACTTCCTAAATTTAATTATATTTAGGGCGGTATGTTGAAGATGGATGGAGATGAAAGAATAGGAAAATAGTGCCTAATTTCCAGATATGTCTATTTCTTCAGCGCAAGTAGCATAGAGAGATAAGTGAATGGAAATCAGCCAATGGCAACTTATCGATTGGTTTATTTTTTATCATACAAGATTCAGTGATATGATCATACAAGATTACATTGTTATAATTTGTAAAGACCTATTCTTACACGCTAAATTCATAACTACTTTCATGTAATCATTAAAATAAAGAAGAGCCTTAGCAACAAGAGTCTTAAGAGAGCTTAAGAGATGTCTTCAAATTAATGTTCTTATCTAAGGCAGTAAAAGCTTGTATTATTTAAGGATTAAATTTTTTTTTAATTAGATTATGATAAAACAATATTTGCGTTCATCAGGTATGAATTATTTGTACACGTTTAGCAATAAATAAAGTGATAAAGTGTAGATAGCATACACTTCAATCTCCAGATTGAAACTCGTAGAGCAAAAACAAAACATGTGTTCGTTTTTTTCTTGTTTTCATACCATAAGCACTGGACATATAGGAAATACATATACATGTATAATCAATTTCTCACAGACAGATTAGCTAATAAAGCAACTACAGAGTAAATCTACAAAAGCAAAGCTGCCACAGACTGCAGTGTCCTGCTACCTAGCGGCGGTTTGACGAACTACCACCAACATTGGCTATGGCAGTACGCTGTCTCGCAATACCACTGAAGTCAAAACATGGCTTTTACTAATACTGTACAAGACAATGAATCAAGTCATGACTTGACAATATTATAATGTAAAACATTTTCTTCTCAAAAGTTTTAAATGTACTATTTTAATGACATACAAGATAAGGTACCAGTGCGGAATAAACTTGAAGCAAGATTGGGTCATAACTCCAGTCTTATATAAAAAAAAATAAAAAAATATAATGAGATGAACAATTTTTTTAAATTGTTTTAACCTACAACTGTGCGGTCGGACATTGCAAGTTTTTGTCGGTTTTGACTTGTAAGATTTAAAACGAAAAACGTGGGGTGGATGCAATAGATAATTTACAATTACCTTCACCTATTGAACTGATGTATTATTATCAATTGCATGCACCCCACGTTTTTCGTTTGAAATCTTACAATTATTTATATTATAAATTATTTTATACTTTTTAGTGTGTTAAAAAACGTTTTGTTTTTAAAAAGTTTTTTATTTATAAATAATTATTTCCTACTTTTTAGTTTCTAATGTGTGTGTATGTTAAATCTATTTCAAGCATCTATATCAGATTAAGACAGAGGCATGTGGGAAATCTATACGGTTTATTTGAGTTTCTTTTCATATAAAATTATGTATTAGATTGAATGTATGTCCTACCTACTAACTATAAATATATCAATCTATTTAATTTATTGTTTACTTTATAGAATCTAAATATATAAAAGGCAAAGCCCATTATTAACAAACACCTTTATACTGTATCTGCAATCAGATTGTTTATCTTTATTTTGAAATGTTTCATAACCTGTACCTCTTAACCTCTGCTCTTTGAACTGTCAAATTTAAGTATTTACAGCCGGGAATTGATATACAGTATTTACATTCTTTCAAAATGTAAACATGAAAAAATTGGAAGCCCATGGGGCGTAGTCCAAGGGAAATGTTAAAATCAAATGATATAATATTGCATTGTCATCCATTTGTGGGCTATGTTTCAAGTTTCAAGTCTCTAGCTCATCGAAAAGTATCAAAATTTGCAAGAAAGCGAGTTAATAAAAACAAGCCCATGGGGCGTAGCCCAAGGGAAATATGAAAATTAAATGATATAATATTGCATTGTCTTCCATTTGTGAGGTATGTTTCAAGTTTCAAGTCTCTAGCTCATCGGGAAGTTAGTATAAAATTGATTGCAAAATTTGTACCGGACAAGAAAGCGAGCTAATAAAAACGTTTTAAAATAGGAGACAAGTTTTCAGTCTATATCAGTGACAAACATTAAACACATTTAAACGAGTGTTAGAGTTTACAAAGTGTGATAGGTCGATTTACAAAGTCAATACTTTTTGGTACTTAAATACACTAAGATATAATCATTTTCTACAATAAACCAGATCACTAAAGAATGAACCTGTGGAACGAGTGTGAAACCCTAGTTTTCTTTTCCTCTGGTTCTAACCCGGAATTCGATTTTACACATAACTTCAGAGTAGATTTGGGAAAACATCACTAGTAAGGTGAGTCATGGCATTATCACTTAAATAGGAGTAAAATTCATTCATGATTGGCAGGATTTAGTTCCCCCATTCAAACAAAAGTTGTCATTTGTTCAAATTTATTTTTTTAAATATGAATAGATTTTGCTAACAAACATTGCTACTTTTCATTTTCAGATCATAACCGTAAATGTTTGATATTTCCCGTGTACATACCTTTAAGAATTAAAATATAATAAAACATGTTTCATTTTATTTTAATTTAGGCTCTATTTATACTGTGCGGCCTGCAGCCCTGTAAGTGCATTCAGTTAAAAGGGTGCTTTTAGATGCATTGCGTTATATAGGAGTTTTTATGCTCTGCGGCGCTCTCAAGAGCGGCCAAATGATCAAAACAAACTCAGCCCAACATGGTATTGCCTTGCCTCCCTCATTTCACTTTCTATTGCCGGTGTGGTAGGTGGTTTTGATTTTCTTTCCTGTGCATCAGTTTACAACATTTGTGTATGCACAATGATGGAATCAACTACAACTGAGGTCAAAATTGAACAGTTTATCGACTAAATCAAACAAATTTCTACAAATAAATATTTGTATTTGCATACTGATAAGGGAGTCATCAACAACAACCACACCTTTTACAATGAAAAAGTGTGTGTTGTGCTAGTCTAGTAGTTATAGTGTCTCGGGCAGTAGTGTATAGTTAAAGTGGGAACACTGTTTTGCTTTTTGCTTCCACTTTGTTTTTTTTTTCAAAGAACCTATAAATTGATTGGTGACCAGTATTTTTTCTACGACAAAGATGAGCATTTCCACACTGGAAACTTTAGGACTACACCTCTAGACTTCATGTCGAGAGGAATGGGTTCAATTTTCAGCATATTTTCAAAACACAAAGTTTGCAGCGTACTAAAGAGCTTATGTGTCACCTTCATTCAAAATGGCGATGGGCTAAAGTTTGTCATTAAAAAAAGGGTTAAAATATCTGTATTTGGTAAGGTAGTTTTAATTATTACATAGAACCAATAACAACAATGATATCTAGTAAAATAACATCTAGTAAAATTTTACTATAAATGCTTAACCAATATAAATAATGGATCAGGCCTACAAGGAGTCAGATCAATCAATTGCTTTAATTGATGGTTTTCAGTAGAGTTTGACAAAAGAAACAAATAAAAACCAAAACCATCTTGCACACAAACAAATGGGATTCATACATGAAAAACAACGGGGACATTGACAGTGAGTGACATGATTAGGTTAATGCGAAAGTTTAACTACCTTTAGAAGTGGATTGTTAAGATTTCACAAAACATGGTTAAAAGTTAACAATCTTTAATTTGTGGCAGAGATCTTCTCCCAGGTGTTGACTAGAAAATGTATGGAACTCCTACACCCTGTTTCTCCCACTAAACCACCGCTGCTTGATATGGTCGGAACCCTTCTCTGCTATCATGATGGTGGGGGCGTTGGTGTTACCTCGGACAATCCTTGGCATCACGGAGGCATCAATCACCCTGAGATTTGCCACACCCTGGACCCGCAGATGTGGGTCCACCACAGCATCTGGCCGACCCAGAGGTCCCATCTTGCATGTACCCACCGGGTGATACACTGTGGAAGTCAAGTGTCTAAGAATACACTCCCGATGGAGTCGAGAATTTGTAGGAAATTTGGAACAACTGGCTACTTTGATGTCATGCAACCTTGCTCCAGCCGCTTTTATCGGTTCTGTTTGTGCAAATCTCTCCAGGAACTCAATTGCCTCTATGAAAGTATCAACGTCCCGCGGGTCTGAGAAGTAGCCAGTGGTGATGATCGGATACTGCCAAGGATCGGTGCTTTGTAGCCTTATCCTTCCTCGACTGTATGGATTTAGAAGAGCAGGTTGAAATATCACTATGAGAGACTCGCTGTTTATTTCCAGAAATTGTTGAATAACCTCTTCTGTAAAAGAAAGGACTTTTAATGTCGGTTCCAATCTTGAATCGTTTTTAGCAGCAACTAAAAAGTAGTTCTGTATGTTAGGATAGTTAATTCCCATGTTGTGTGTGTCTATAAACACATTGACAACATTCAAGCCGATTGAAGACAGTGGACTATTGTATTTCAATAGGAAATCAAACATCTTTTTTTCTATATTTGCAGTAGGATTGTAATCATAATTCAGAGCCAGTATTGGTCCATAATGCATAGCATGATCTTGAAGATTTTCTCCAACTGGTAAATCCACAATAACTTTTATCCCAAGTTCATTCAAATGTGTGCTCGGGCCAACTCCAGATAACATAAGCAGTTGTGGGCTGTTGATGGCCCCAGCTGAAACTATAACCTCCTTCCTTGCTAAAACCCTGACAATATCTCCATTTCTATCAATAAATTCAACTCCGTAAGCCGTATTCGAATCGTGACATATTAGTATTCTTGTGGCAAGGGAATGTTTTGAAACCTTCAAGTTACTTCTATCGATAATTGGAGACAAAAAGGCCTTAGCTGTGCTACACCTTCTTCCATCTTTCAAAGTTCCGCGTATTCTGCAAAAACCAGACTGAAACCTACCAGTGGTGTCTGGATTGTACGAATATCCCAACTCCTTAAAACCCTCTCCAAATAATGAGACTAAAGGCTCAAGTAAATCTGAATTAAAATCCTCAACAGTCAAAGGTCCGAATTCACCATGGTAGTACAGAAAGTCAAGAGAATTCCGAACTTCGCAAGATCTCATGTTCTCGAACTTCTTAAAATATGGAAGAACATCTTTGAAACCCCAACCTGAGTTTCCATCAGACTCCCAACAGTCGTAGTCCCTTGGATTGCCCCGGGAATATATCATCGCATTAATCACACTCGATCCTCCTAATACTTTTCCACGAGGCCAAGTACATCGGTTTCCCTCAAAACTTAGACAGTTCGGTTCAGAAGGGTCTGTCTTGTAATTCCAATCTACATTGGTCTGCAACTGTTGAAAGAACAGACTCGGCACTTCTGATGTCTTTGTTGGGTCTCCTCCTGCTTCAAGGAGGAGAACACTCCAGCCAGAGACCTCTGATAGTCTGTTCGCCACCACAGATCCTGCGGATCCTGCTCCAATGATGATGAAGTCAAACTCCTCCCAGTCTGCGGGACTGTAGTGTGGCGGATAGTCGCAGGGATCGGCTAGCTCACAGTCGGCCTGGGCTAGAGCAGCAAACACCTCGTCTATCAACAGAGCTGCAGGGTCTGTGTATTGAGCACTACATGTACCTTCCAGGAACAGAGGGTTGTAGCTACATGTTGGGAAGCTGGGCCTGCAAAATATTTTGTAGATTACAAAGCACAATAATATGTAGTGTAATTATGTTATTACTCCTTATGAATACATCATTTTACTCTTCCTAAAAGTCATGAACAGGGGTGGTTCAATAAGTCCTTGGAAAATATCTATTTACCTTACAAGTGTAGTAAGAGCGTTTTTACATCACGCAGGTGAATGTCGTGCAACAAGCGGAAGCAGGTTGCATAATTTACCTAAGTGATGTAAACACGCTCTTGCGTAACGTGTAACGTACAAGATTTTACCTGACCCGACAATATACAGGAGGTTACGTACAATATTTATCATTATCCATTTCTTTCATCTTCTAACAGTAACTTTCTTTTACAAACAAAAGCTAGGTTAGGAAAATTCTTTAAAGCATAACAATAAATTCAAGCGCACAGCTGATTTCTTGCGTTGAACGTCGTTGGCTCCATAGAGGTATATTTTTTGAGTTGAGCACTCAATGTTATTTCAATGGGTTTCATTACATAACCGAGTGAGTTTTTTTGATACTTTACTTCACTCGAGAAGTAAAGAAGTTGTACACATCACGCTGGGGATAGGGAAGTTTAACATGGCGGGTTAGGTAATGATGCTAGTCTTTACTACTTCCTTCACGATTTCCTATGTCATGGACCTGTTTCCTTCCCTTCTCATAGCATTTAAGTATTACAGATACATTAATCTAACTGCCACAAGCGGTCCCCACACTCTGCGATGCTAAACTTTTCTACTTCCAACGCCACTTCCTACGTCGTGGACCTGTTTTCATCTCTTTCAATAGCATTTTAGTATTTTAAATGCATTAATCTAATTGCCACAAACATTTACCACACTCTGCAATGCTAGCATTTACTACTTCTTTCACCTTCCTATATCGTTAACATGTTTCCATCCCTTCTCATAGCATTTCAGTATTTCAATTTCAGATACATAAATCTAACTGTTACAAACGGTTTCCAGTTCCAACACTCCACACTGCTGGCCTTTACTACTTCCTTCACCACTACATACGTCACGGACCTGTTTTCCTCCCTTCCCATAGCATTTTAGGATTGCAGATATCAATATAATCGTCATAAACAGATCCCACACTCCGGACTACTCGCTTTTACTACTTCCTTTACCACTTCCTACGTCACGGACCTGTTTCCTTACCTTTCTATAGCATTTTAGGATTGCAGATACTTTAATCTAATCGTCATAAACAGTTCCCGCACTCCGGATAGCTCGCCTTGACTACTTCTTTCACCACTTCCTACGTCGCGGAATTGTTTTCTTACCTTCCCATAGCATTTTAGGATTTCAGATACCTTCCCATCCTTATGGAACAGCTGAAGCCACTTTTAGGCTAGGGCCACACTTGGCGACTTTGTCGCGGCGACAAAGTCGCTGCGTCAGTGAATGAAAGTGCGTAGCATTAAATTAAATGGAGGCGGCCACACTAAGCGACTCGCGACCAGTGACCACTGGCGACAGAAAAACAAACGCGACCGGGAGCGTTTTTCGGTCTCGGCGACAAATACGCTCCCCGTGTTATCTTATGGCACCGGCCATACTAGGCGACAAGTCGCTCGCTCACACACCCTTTGCTGCTCTATTTTCATGTCTATATTGTACAGTTATGGACATGCAATTGTTAAATATGGTAAATATGCTTTTAAAATACCAATATTGTGATTGTCATCGACAAAATAAGTGTTGACATGTTAACATGTGTGCTGTAGAATATATGAGATTTAACTCTTCTGGTATAACAGGAATCCAAAACCTCGCGTATTTTTCAAATGTTGTGCGTCGTCTTCAATGTAAATAGCTCGCCAAAGCTATATTCATCCAAATAAATATTACTAAAAATTTACAAAATTAAAATACGCCATCCATAAACGATAGTTTTAGGGAATTCACTCCATCTGTGTTTTCTCTTCCTTATAGCGAATTTTCGCTATAGGTAATAAGCTATTACCTTAGGTTGCATGGTAAGACCTAAATCCGGGACCGATTTGATTTTTCGTTTTGAGGTCCCCAGAGGCAAAAACACCCACCGGTCAAATTCATATATACGTATACAGTATATACGTACATATGTATGTATTTACATATACAGTGTATACATTTAGGTCTATTTGCCAATTAGCGCAATAATTTGAGCAAAAATGATGAGATTTTAGTGGAATTTGGTACAAATGTTAAAACCAACGTTAATTCAAACGTGCTCGCAAATCAAAATGATCGGACCATGGGAATGGGAGGTTTAAGGGGCTTTGATGGGGTATAAAATTATGTTTTTCTTATTTTTGACCCTTAAACATAAATTTCACAATTTCCTTCCAAACTGTTTTGTTGAGCTAATAAAAATGATTTTGTTAATTGAAGCGTTGTTGTAAACCTAACGGTTACGGAGATAATTTAAACAATTGTAAATTTAAAATGCCCATTTTGATGAAGAATAAACTGTTTTAGTTTGCTTGTTTATGGATATATTTTCATAAATTATAACAATATTTTAATAAATATTTTTAATTTCATACTAAGCCATTAAAATTTAAATTAACAAGCACACCTCATTAGGTTACCTTATTTGTCACAGTAAACCTAAGCATTCATTTAAATTCATCTTATTTAAGTAGGAAATAAATCCAACAAGTTTATCTGCAGGTTTGTTGCGGCGGGGGTATTTAGATATAAAATAAATAGCAATAGCAAGTATTAAACTGTGATTTGATGACGTAGACGTCCACATTGGTTTTTCAAAACATAGTTTAACACATTAATTTAGTAAAAATTGTATTTCTTTTGTTGCAGGCAAATGGTTAAAAACTATTACGTGACTTAGTATGAAATATAAAGAGGCGGTGCACGTATGAAAATACTATAACGATATGATTTAATTTGTAGAAGATTCACTTAAATCTTATGGTACTGCAATTAATAGTAAAAACATTGATTTATTCTAAGGTGGTCAAAAAACATACAAAAACGGTCATAGATCCTAATATATTTTCATAATCAATGACACGATTTTGAAAATACAATATAACATCTCGAAACTCTATTTTTACTGGTATTGTAAAAAAGTAAACTGAATGGTCGAAATTGTCGCCTATTGTGGCCACCCCCTGCGACTTTGTCATTGCGACAAAGTCGTGGGAAAAAAAGTCGCCGCGACAAAGTCGCCAAGTGTGGCCCTAGCCTTATTGTTAGTTCTGTCTGGTTCTCTGTAGATGTGGAGGATTTCGTGTTTTGTTTACAATTTGTTTCTATTATTTTAGGGTTAGTTTCTCATTATTTGTGTCTCACTGTTTGGTTATATAGCGAGTGGATGAGTTATCTTTTATGATTAGATAGTATTATTTGGTTTTAAATTACTGAAATAACAAGAAACAAATTGTAAACAAATAACACCATCTACTGAAAACCGGAGAGAACTAACACAATAAAATTGCCTTCAGCTGTTCCATAAGGATGGGAAATCTACCTTAATCTGATCGTCATAACAGATCCCACACTCCGGGCTGTTAAGTTAGCCTTTACTCTAATGTATCGAGTAAGCTTCAGTATAATCATTGCTCAATAGTAACAAGTGATGTTTTTTCCTTTTGTACTGTATTTACAATACTGTGATTAATGACAGCTAGTTAAAATAGCTACAAATCTACAGAAGCAGCTGCAGAAATGGCTAAAGATCTGCCAAAAGTCAAATTTTCAAAATAACAAATATTCAAAAATAAAGAAAATCCAGCAACAAACAAATCTAGTGTGTGGATAAATTTTAAACCAACCTTTGTTGAGATAAAGCAGAGGTGAAAAAATATAAAAGCAGCCACCAGAAATACATAGCTGCGATGTTTGAGGAAGACTGAGTATTATCATTGACAAATAAGGAAACTTAACGTACAATAACATTGAATTTTTTCTCCCTTCATTGAAACTATGAGTGCTTATTGTTAGGTATATTACTTTACTTGACCTGAGATCTGATGAAAGACACTAAAAAAATCTGCTTTGACAGAATTTTGTTTTTTATTTTTTTAACCAAGCAATTTTTGAGTTATGAAATCAACATCGCCTCAGCTGTATGTGACGTCTTCCATTTTAATATAGAGTACCTGGAGCCCGAGCTTTGCTCGAAAAAAAACATAAGAGAGCAACCAAACTCTGATAGCAGTCTTTGGTAAATGTCAAACGTCGAGCCAGAGATTCGTCGGCGATCCTGCTCAAGATGATCGGCCTGTTGTTCATCATATTTCTTGCACATAGGGTCTGAAATTATTACTAGACTTTCATTCTTCGATGCCCGACTTGGTTCTGATTAATGGTTCTGAGACGTTTGGTGAGACGTACCTATGAGCTGGTTGGAACTGCGTCGGTTGTAGGCGGTATACATGTAAGTGGTAAAATTTGTTTCCCGATGATCGATTATAGCTTCTCTCCCTTGCAGATTCTGTATACATTTTCGCTTCGGAGGTTTTCCGCGTTTCATTCCTTGAAAGTTAATTAACCTTGAAAACTTATAACCTGTATCAGCTGTTTTTGTTAACTATAGCTACAAAAAGGTATTGGCGATAACATGGGAACTTTCAAGGGCTATACTTCAACGGCTGACGGAAACTGGATTTTTCCCAGCCTTGTGACCAACTCCAATCGATTTCTCGTGGTCAAATACCCCATTTTAAACAAAAAAAATAAAAAATCCTCGGACGAAAATAAAAGTTTGTTCGTACACGCACTTGTTTTAGAGTATAGGATTTGCAACAGCGCTGTTAATTGTTTTGTTTTCTATGATTTTACACCTTAATTTCACTTTTTTCACCCTCAATGTATTTCTAGTTCATAGGGTCATACAAATACTGTCTCATGATCAGAATACTGAATCACGGCAACAGAAACAATCTTCTCTCACAATCATGGCAACAATCATAATGATTTTTACAATCACAGTGACTCCTGGCACAGAAAACGTACTACTATAACCCAGAATGCCAACCGCATAGTAAAAAGCATTAAGCGGTTTGAGAGAGCTTTGCCTGTCAATCCGTAGGCAGCGCCACCAGCGTTGCCATGCAATAGCAAAGCAACGCTGGTGGTGCTGCCTACCGATTGACAAGCAAAGCTCTCTCAAAACACTTAATGCTTTTTACCATGCGGTTGGCATTCTGGGTTATAGTAGTACGTTTTCTGTGCTCCTGGGTACCTCGCTTGATCATGTTGAGTGACCTCGATCTTTCATTTGACACGGCAACGCAAAAATGGGACAAACAGTGACTATTGGAGATTACTCAAAATCAAAATTATATATTTTTTCTGTGTTTGCGCCCAAAGTGTGGGGCCCCCGAGCAACTCATGCCTAAGGTCGGCTCTGCCTGTGCCAATCTATTTTTGGAGGGATTTAATCGTCATCTTAAGGCCTCACCAAGTCTAGAAGCTCTTCCAATTAATTGTCCTCCTGTGTATACATAGTGCGTACCACGACATCAAGCATTTACAGCAGAAATGGTTTTAGGACACCATTCAAGACTTCCAGAGGAACTATTTGATCTTGAGATGCCTTGGAGTCAAGTTTAGAACCGCTACCTTCACTTGAGTTTTTGGTTTACTACTGATATTGCAGTGGACTGTCAAGTGTTGATGGACTTCTGTCTGAGAAGCTCTGCTATTATATTCTCAGTGGGTCTGGCTCTCTATTTTCCAGTGGGTCTGCTGAGGTCCGAGTTTCTTCCTTTATGTTCCCTTGTCCAAGAACTTCCCTGTTGGCAGAAGTTGCTATTTTTTAGAGCATCAGAACCTTATGTGTTCTTGATGCACTTGTTTTTAAGTGGCATCTTGCTCTTGATGAGCAAACTCATGCATGGTTGGTATTTAAGTTGTGTTAAGGTTTTGGTTTGGGTTGAGGCTTTTTTTATATCGGCCATGATAATAGTAGCTAGGGAAGAGCCCTACATGCCTGGGTAAGGCTTTTTACTCCAGGTCTCTTGGTATTTTGGAGGCACCATTCAAATATTGTGTACCTACATTAATTTCAAATGTTTACCAATGGTTGGTCTCCAGACTCCTCTAGCAAAGAGGAAGGTGGCAAAGATGGTACAGCCCAGAGTAGCCTGGTTAGAACATTTAACTTAACATTTGCAGACAATTACTTTCAGGGTATTGTTACATCAACATAATTGATTATGTAACAATGTAACAACATACATCGCATTGTCATAGTTATCGCTCATTAATTTTCCTTTTTTCCGATGATAATAGTCAGTTCACCTGCAGGGGTTCACCCTCCCCTATATTCATTTCTGGTGGCTCCTTTTCCATTGTTGGTATCATCTATTATCTATGGTTACTATCAGGGCCAGATTTCCCAAAAGGCCGGTAGGCCCGGGCCTATGGGCGCAAGCTCCCAGAGGGCGCATGGCCGAGAGGTAAAATATTTTTTTAATATCTAAAAATAAAATAAATAGCAATAGCTTAAAATATTTTGCAAGTTGATAAAAAAAACTCTTGTTAATAAAGCATTATAATTTTGAAACTCATTGGGAGAAATAATTGTTAGAATATTTAAACTATTTTTCAACATTATGCATCAATTTCGTTACAACATTTGTAACGAACATTGGTTATGGAGTAGGCTGTATAGGGATGTTGTCGAGCGCCCGAGCGGTACGCTTCGTATTGCCACTGTACTCTTTACACTGCCACTATGCTGGTTTGGGCACGGCACTACTGATCAGAGTGATTAGGGGGCGCATGCGTGTTACCACCCTCACCTCACATGAAGAAAATGTATTACTAATCTTTTGATCAGTTTACAACAACCTGCAGGGCCAAGTTAAAATATATAAAACTTTTTGTTGAATATTAAAAATACGATAAGTTTACCTTTAAAATTCAATAACGAAAAAATATTTATCTGAGTTTGCAACAGGCTTTAGAAAAATTTAATCACCTCCAAAGCACCAATAATGGTGTCATTTTCTCCTCAGCCCTCAGCTCAGACCTGAGGATAATTATGGTTGGCCTGACTATTGCTTTGTTTTGCTTTGCAAATATAATCTGGATGCAGTACCACCATAGATTAACTATAAACTCAAGTCGACTTCTTACCATATTGTTGATTCTAAATATTTTTTTCATGTCTAGTTCATGTTGGTAACACTGGAAGTTAGTTTTGAGTTTTGACGTACCGTAATTTTGTTTCTATTATTTTAGGGATAGTTCTATGTTGTGTGTTTTAATTTCTTGTAATATAACTAGGGTACGACCTATTGTTTATGTTTAGATCTTTTATTTTGGACAAACTAGGTTTTAAAAATAACCTTAATAAAAAGAATTGATTTCAGCTAATCCCTAAGGATGACAAATCTACTAAAGGAGTATGTTTAATCCATGGTATCACATACTGTTATGGAGTTCATGTTTTGGGGCCTGAAATCGGAATCAATGGACATGCTTTTTTGCAGGAATGCTCTGTGGGTTGGTTTTTTTCGGTCCCACAAGCGTGAGCATTTGCTAAAAGCATAAAATTGCCAAAAGTGTTTAAGACGGCATTTTGTTAAGGCTAACCAAGACAATTCTTCAAAAAACTTGAAATGATAAAATTCTGACGATGAGTGGTGTTCAAGCAATTAACATAGGCCTATGCATGATATAGTTTTTAATAAAGGTTTGTAGAAAAGAAACTGTGACCAGACTAGGCGGGGGCGGAAAAACTATTTGGGCCTAGAGGCGCCAAAATGCTGAATCCGGCCCAGTTTTTTTTACTATCTATGGTATTATCATAGATAAAACAAACTTTTTCTATCCTAAAATTCAAGTAGCTTTTTGAGCCAACTTTATCGAATTTAAACCTAAAAGTCAAAAATCACCTCAAAAGTGGCTTCCAACTTTACAATCGAGAAGTATACAGTATACTACAATTATCCAAAATCAATGAGTACCTATACGGAAACCATGGGATTTTAATTTTACTTTTAAGTGTGCTATTCCGTTAGGGTTACGATGGTAACCCTGCGTACAGAATTACCGACCTCTCCAAGTAGTTCCTAGGATCGCTACTAGGAGCGCTACATGCAGTTTTGTTATGACAGCTGGCATTTTCTTGTTTTCTACTCCACTCAACAATTCAACCGCGAGTTGTGAAGTTTGTAGGTTGTTCAGTTCAGTTGTTGAGTTGTCTTTCACAACGTCCGTGGGTTTATCAGTTTTGTTCCGCGTGTGACGAGGATTCGATGGGTGTGGACCCAAATAAGTGCTTGTCAATGTTGTGAATTATTGTAAGACTACTTCAGGTGAGAAACTTAATTTGTTTATGTAGTTGTATTACAGAAGTATACAGTATACTACAATTATCCAAAATCAATGAGTACCTATACGGAAACCATGGGATTTTAATTTTACTTTTAAGTGTGCTACATTCCGTTAGCGTTAGGATGGTAACCCTGCGTACAGAACTACCGACCTCTCCAAGTAGTTCCTAGGATCGCTACTGGGAGCGCTACATGCAGTTTTGTTATGACAGCTGGCATTTTCATGTTTTCTTCTCCACTCAACAATTCAACCGCGAGTTGTGAAGTTTGTAGGTTGTTCAGTTCAGTTGTTGAGTTGTCTTTCACAACGTCCGTGGGTTTATCAGTTTTGTTCCGCGTGTGACGAGGATTCGATGGGTGTGGACCCAAATAAGTGCTTGTCAATGTTGTGAATTATTGTAAGACTACTTCAGGTGAGAATCTTAATTTGTTAAAGTAATTGTATATGTTTAGCTGATATGTTTAGTGTTTTGGTCAATTCTTACATACGTAAGTAGTTATCTATAAATGTATTAAGCCAAAAAGTTTCATTTGCTGGTAAAATATCGTTATTACTAAAACCTCGGTTTAGATAATACATGAATTAATACAGTACCAGTAACCGCAGCGAATGTTTGGCTCTCTACAGAATTTTTTCTAAATACGATGAAACCCATGCACAAATTCCGCATTTTTAGGGCTCAAAACCTGTTTCCGAAAAAAAGAATTATGCACTGTCCTTTTACCTTTAATATTCTCTTTGTTTATTACACTGGTTAGGCGAATAATGCTACAAATTTACTCAAAATTTTTTTTTATTAATTGTAGGCCTATATCATAAAAAGATTTACTTACCTCAATTATATTACAAAATTATCAATGAAAGTAGCTTTTTAACATATATATTTAACCTCAACCCTTTGTAAATTTTGAAGCTCGTTTTTCGTGTCTAGTTCATGTCCGGTGACACTGGGCGTTAGAGTTGACGAAATTTTGTTTCTGTTATTTTCGGGTTAATTTCATGGTTTGTGCTTTACTGTTTGGTTATACAACTAGGGTACGAGTTGTTGTTTAGTTTTATTTGGTTAAACGAGGTTTTAAATGGCTGAAATAACAAGAAACAAATTGTAAACAAAACACAGCTTGTACAGCGCACCGGACTGAACTAACAATAAAATTGGCTTCAGCTGTTCCATAAGGATGAGAAATCTACTGAGGGAGCATGATTTAAATCTATGATTTAACTTACTTATTAACGTTTTTTTTTTCATTTATTTAAAGTCTGACTACAGTGTAAGTGTAGTTAAAACTTGAACTGATTAGGGATCATCTGTTAGATTTTAGATTACATCTCACAATGAAATCTATACAAAGAAAGTTGGTCACTGGTTGGCGTCACTGAATCTTTGGAACAGAAATAAATCAAACGCTAGGAGACGAAGCCCTATAATGCAAATTACCTCTAGGTACCATTCATCAATCCGCTCGATCATAAGCTTAAAAATAACACCTTAATCGTAAAAATCTGTTACGTAAAACTGCTTAAAAAATGTTACATTGAAACACCTTATTGTATCAATAATTGATCATTTAATTGTATTATATAGAAATATTTTGTATTTGTACCTTAATTTATTAATGGATTTGTTTACATAGTCTGAATTGATGTGTTGGTTTATTAACCTTGTTTTACGGTGGTCAAAACTATTTATTTCATACGGTAGGTTTACGTAATTTCGTAGTCAAAAACTATGGTAAAGTGTAAAGTTGGTAATATTCTCGAACGGTTTTTATCTTCGTGTGGCGAATGCATTACACAGTTGTTTTCTCGTTTATGCATATTTACAGGAGTCATGTCTTGTTTGTAAACAAAACTTTTAAAAATTATTGGATTTAGGCCTAACTCAAACTTCTTGAGATGTTTTAAGTTTTAAATCGGACTTAATATTACCTCTCGTATAGCATAAAAGTCTGAATTCATTGTTAATAAACTATAGTCGGTATGATTTTATTTTTATTTATTCTTTTTTTTTATTTATATACAACCGGAGACCACATAAGATTAAACATGACGCCCTTGAGATCCGGTTAAATCCATGATAAGATTGTACTCCAAATCCTAGTCCAGGAGATACAGTTATAGAGGAAGGCACTTTATTTTTTCTAGGGTTTAATTAGCTTATGTTATTTCGAATTTTACAAAATTTTAACAAAAATATCCTCCTTACAAATACAGACCATGAGCTATAATATTTATGTTGCGATGTCAAACATAATTATATTACATCGGTGAATCGCCAATTAAGTGTGTATATATTTAAAAATTACTAGTGGTCGACCAGTGATCGAAAAATCGACCAAAAATAATGTACTAACTTCTCTATTTTTACCCCACGCTGTAAATTAAACATGTGATTGGAATTTCTTTCATTTGTTTAGATTTTCTGTTTATATTTCGTTGTTATTTCGTCACCAGCATAGCAACCCATAACATGTTAATTGTTTCAATTTTAATTTCATATTTTGTGCTTATTTTTAAGCCTATTTTAATTTATAAAGGAATTCTGCAAACCAACAGGAAAATATCTTTCAAACAATATGCGTAGATTTTCCCTGCGATGCACACGAGCTGAGAAAAAAAGTTTTAAATGAACATGCTTGCCTATTAATTTTGTTTTGATTTTCTATTTATATTTCGTTGTTATCTCGTCTCCAGCATGGCAACCCATAAAGCCTATGTTAATATTTTAATTAGTCCTAGATTTTTCTCTTATTTTTAAGCCAATTCCATTTTTGCACTCTGCATCTACAGGAAAATGTCTTTCAAACAATATGCGTAGATTTTCCCTGCGATGCACTCGAGCTGAGAAAAAAACGTTTAAAGAAACTATTAATTAATGATTACAAAATTACAACTGGCTATACTTAAATGCCAGTTTTGCTTAATTTTGTTTTATAAAGGTGCAACCATACCGTGCAGAAAGTGATGATTTTATTTCAACGTGTTACTCCTTGTGGGAGTTTGTACTCGTATATCCGACACCAGGACGTACTGCAGATGTCTCAGTAGTCGCTCTTGACGTTTTTGTCTTGGACCAAAGCAAAAATAACTACGTGGGAACTGGTTCAGTTACAATTACGTCCATGAACGATTTGCTTCTTCAAATCATCATCTGGAGCTATGAAAATACGTATTCTAACGATCAATGGTGAATAGTGGACATTATGTATTCACAGCATTTCACATATGACAGGTTATTCGCTAGTAAAACACAAAGAAACTATCTCTTTAAGTTAAACATACATTTCTGAAATCAGCAAAGCTCATTGGTTTTGAAATTGTAACTAAGCGTATCGACCATGAATGTTTTAACCACAGTATTTGGATAGTTAAAGGTTCCTGGCCAGAGAATTGGGTAATTTGTATGTAACAAATGCTATAATAAAGCTGTCATCTCATTCAACATATAACAATAAATTCAACAATCTAATCTAATTCAAAATACTCAATTAAATTCATTCAAATTAAAATCATCACATCCATATATAAATATAACTTCTACAAGCAGAGACACAGTTTAGGCCTACTGCTGGTCGAGAATGCTCTACAGAAACAATAGATAACATCTGTCTATGCCATTGTTGTCGATAATTACAACCGATGACGTCATGTTGATGTTACTGATGTCACAGGTAGTAACAGTTTCAGCTGTCACGGTTACAACGATTCGTCATTTGGAACGGTAGCGTCATATAAGATCATTGAGGTCGATGATTCATCGTTGTTAAGTTGACAACTCACTGTCATAATGTCTCCAATCTCCAAAAATGATTGTCGATATCAAATATTGGTCCTTTCGTAATTTTATCATTCTGCAACGGCTGACCAATTCTTTGCATTCATCAATAATGTATAACTTGTTGAAAACTTTATTGCCGTACTTCTAATTCTCCGCTTTTTGTGCCTTTTGGCTCAGCTAGATTTTTACATTTACCTAAAGCACATTAATTTTGTGACCGAAAACCAAAATGGTAACTCTTTTTACTCGTTGGTTAGTCTTAGTCTTATTTAACCATCTCCTCTCCTTTGTGATCTGTTGAGAACTAACATAAATTAAAATATATTCCTCTTGTAAATAGTGGAGGTGGTTTATATCGAGATTTGTTTTAACTATCGCTACAAACAAGGGATTAAATCGAATTGCATCTCTAATTTAACGATTTGACCAACTTGATACAGTATGAATTTATTGAGTGTATAGAAGAAATCTTACGAACTGTATATATAAACGCTCCAAAGGTCATCAGTTCACACGCAGTATTGAGGTCAGCACTTCTGTTATGGAGAAGGTCAAGAACCCATCACTGTTCAAATGTTTACCGAAAGCAGTTGAACTTACTGTAGTTTGTTTACTGGATAAACACGTTAAGGGTTTGAAAACCACAATTTCTATAAGATAATCGCAACTAATGTGTGTACTAAGATATACCAATCCATTGATTTGTAAACTGTTGATTCTCCATGACTTATAAAAAAAGATTATAGGACTGTTTGTAAAGTTGGTTAAAAAATATATAAGTATAGCTCATAAATCGTTGAGGAGGTGTTTGTTCCATGGCTCTAATACTGTAGTAAGATCAAAGTCAATGGTTTTAGAGTACTTAGGCTATACCTTCAACCTTTGAACACTGAAGTACATTCCATTTCCATAATGAAGCTGTGACCAGTTTAAGAATTTAAAAAAAAAACACTGCATGAAAATTACCGATTTCTTCGTACTCTTAACTTTTTAATCAAGCCAAACTGAGAGGACAACCATAGCATATTTTGTCACGCCAACTGTCACAGTTACATCAACAATCGGAGAAAATACAATTGCCGGTACTGAAGCACACGTTATGGTTATGGTTATGGTTATAAAAATTAGGCTTACTGATCCATACAGCTGAGTACTTTAGTATCCAATCGTGGTATCCAAGTTAATGGTAGTATCCAAAGTCAGTGGTAGAATCCAGAGTTAATGGTAGTATCCAAAGTCAATGGTAGAATCTAAAGTTAATGGTAGTATCCAAAGTCAATTGTAGAATCCAAAGTCAATGGTAGTATCCAAAGTCAATGGTAGAATCCAAAGTCAATGGTATTATCCAAAGTCAATGGTACAATCCAAAGTCAATGGTAGTATCCAAAGTCAATGGTAGTATCCAAAGTCAATGGTACAATCCAAAGTCAATGGTAGTATCCAAAGTCAATGGTAGAATCCAAAGTCAATGGTACAGAGGCTATGGTTCTAGGCTGAGTATGTAGCATGCAGCCCTTCGCTGCACGCGTAGCGCATTGTTATCGTGAGTCAATGACTGTAGAAACCACGCGACTTACGAGGCATCTGATGAATCAACACGCTTACAACTTCCGTCACACTATGAGTCATCAGCC